CAATGCTCAAACCACTGAGCTATCGCTCCCCCCTTTAGCTTCGAGGACTGCTTATGTGTGAAGTTAGAAGATTCAAAGTTCAGCTGTTTTGAGTTATTTACAGGGGGCAAGTGACTCTGTTGTAAACTGTGCACAAATAGCTTAAAGGACTGAAGGATTTTTTCTGAAAGTTGAAATGTTGATCACATTGAAACAAAGCATGGAAAGTGACAGCCCAAAAAGAAAACAGAGAAAGTTGAGTGAGTGAAAAGGGGAGATTGGTTAAAATGAAGTGGCTGTGCAACTATAGTGTCTTTGTGCTGCATCAAAAGCAACAATATGTACTTCTGTGGTGCTGAAACTTTACCCAAACCCTTGTGAAATGGATGAGTCTTTTTGGAAAAATGAGGCACAGGGAAGTTGCAGCTTGTCAGAGGATATACAACAAGACTGGCAGAGGCAGGCATAGTCCTGGCTACCAGTCTCCTGTTTGAACCATTACTCTACATATGCACTCTGTGTAAACATCCCCCCTACAATCTTGGTACAAATGTGCACTGCATATAAGCCTTAATCATATAATTCTCAGAAACAAATATTTTCTCTCTTTTTAGAACAAAATCCAGTCTCTCAGCAGAGGGGAATACAATGTTTACAGTACTTTTCAAAGCCATGAACCAGAATTTGACTACTTGAAAAGTTTAGAAATTGAAGAAAAGATCAACAAAATTAGGTGGTTACCCCAGAAAAATGCTGCTCAGTTTTTATTGTCTACAAACGGTAAGGTTTTTTTTATTGTACACAGTAAGCTTGAAAGCAGAATACAGATCTGTAGAATTAATCTCAAATTCTCTGCTATTCTTTCTGCCATTACTTACAGCATACTGAGCTTTGACTAGCATCAGCGTTTCTGCTTTTTTAAACTGAGAATTTAATATTGTTTTTCTTCCACTTTGCAACTGATGCTTTACCTACATCAGGAACTTAAGATTCAAAGGCCAGTCCTTTACTCAGTAAAATCTGTTCTGATTCGAGCAGTGGCCAATAGCTTGATGCTACAGAGGACGGTGAAGAAAACCCCTATATTTGTGAGATGCTATACATTTGGAGGAAAATTACTTCCTGATACTGTTTTGATCAGTTTATTCCACAAATCATGAGTTTTTATAATACTTCGATGTTTAATGCCATCTGCAATCGACACAATGCAATAAATGGATAATTTGTGCTTGGTTTAATCGTATCTGGGTATCTAAAAGAGTTTAATAGTAAACAAGTTTACATGTAGCATTGATTTGTTAATTTGAAGGTTTTTCTGATCTGATTGTCTTTTAAACTAAATGTCAGTCTAAAAGGTTGTCTATACACAGGTTGTACTGCTTAACTATACTAGTTTACTTAAAGCAGTACAATCCCCCCCTAGTGTGGACAGTTATACTGGCATAAAGATGCTCTCTATCAACTTTGCTATTCCTGTACAGGAAGGGCAATAAACTATATTGGCATAAGGCACCTTTATAGTGACAGAACTGCATCTACATGGGGGCTTGTTGTGGTTTAACTGTTTTGCTTTAAAAAAAAAATCAACCCCCTAACCAAAATACTGGTACAAAAACTTTGTGTAGACCAGGTTGCAAGTGCATTTTAACTTTCCCAGTTCATTTCAACCTAATTGTAAGTTGAGGCAACAGTCACATCCAACAAAATATGCATCTCCAAATATTAGCTTATAGAGTTTTTGTGTTGTTTATATATGTAGATAGATAATCCTGACACGCTCACTTGAAAAATGAATACTGAAATGATTCAAAAATACCAGTTGTGAAAAGAAAGCGGCCTCATGCTTGAACTTTCATTTGAACTTGGACAACTCATTAATTTGTTTCAGATAAAACAATAAAGTTATGGAAAATTAGTGAAAGGGACAAAAGACCGGAGGGCTATAACTTGAAGGAAGAAGATGGGCGGTATAGGGACCCTTCTACAGTTACAACACTACGGGTGAGTAGCTCCTCTATCTAGTGTGATAGTCCTCAGAGTCACCATCTGAGGGTAGGTAAGTATTTAGCCTCATTTAATAGATCGGGATCTAAGGCAGAGGCAGTTGAGTGACTTTCTCAAGGTCCCATATATAGGTCTGTGGCTCAGCTGGCAATAGAAGTCAGAACTCCTAACTCCATGTGCCAGTCATTCTCTACAAGACCATCCTTTGTATAGTGATACTAACCATGAGTTTTCTGTGGTGTCCCACATATTGTACACCAGCAATTCCTTGCCTGCTATGCATAGGACGTTGATTTCTGAAGTGGCTTCAGGGTCCTTGTTTGTCAGGCTGGTGGAGGTGCATTGGATGGGTGGCTGTCAGTATACATTTATCTATATTACATGCACAGCTTATATTTTGTGTTTTCTTGTATTTTGCAGGTGCCAATATTCAGACCCATGGATCTTATGGTTGAAGCCAGTCCACGAAGAATATTTGCAAATGCTCACACGTATCACATCAACTCTATCTCCATCAATAGTGATTATGAAACATACCTATCTGCAGATGACTTGCGGATTAATCTGTGGCACCTAGAAATTACAGACAGAAGTTTTAGTATCTTTTTCCATTGGTCTTTTACCGGAGAAAGACTTTTTGCCATAACCAAAGTTGTGGATTTCTCTTTTCCCTTGAAGTGTTGTATACTTAAGACATCTTCCATTTCTTAGTTATTTTTCAGTTGCAATTGCAGAGAATATTGCTACTGGAATGCCAATACCCGAGGATCCTTTTTAGGCAACATAAGGCAAAGCGGAGTTATGATTAATGTTCGTTGTTTTCCTGGCAAAAAATTATGGCAAAGTCATGGCACTGGTTATTAGAAGGGAGGAAAAGGTAAAGCTCCAGGAACACAAGAGGAGCAGGGCTGGAAAGAGAACGATTTGAAAGTATTTGTCTTTTGAAACAGATCTTGAGCTACGTCGTGAGTCGGTCTGCGGGAGAAGTACCATCCTCCGTCCCTCAAGTTATTGGTCTGCCGCAGAACTTCCCAGCCCCCTTCTCTCTCTTTGTTCCCCTACCGCCCCACCGCTCCACTCCTGCACACATGTGTAAAGGTTCTAGGTCTCTAGAATCACATAGCATATTCAGCCACTGCTGTGTGGGGAGCAGGAGCTGGCGCAGTGGGCAAATAAGGAGTCTCAGAGTTTTTGAGGGGAAAAAAACCCAACAGGAAATCACAAAATCCATGACTCCCGTGACAATCAGCCTTGGTTACGTTGCAGCATTTGGTGAAACTAGACACAGGCCAGCTGATGTAGTGCAAAATCATTTATTTAGAATGTTGGATTTTAATTATTTTAAGCTTATAAAATATGTTGGTGGTTGTTGTTTACTAGACCATAAAAAAAATGTAAAATGACGGCATGTTTATATTTCAGGATATGTTGACTGGTTTTATAGAAAATTCAAAGAAGACTTCATTTCCATTTTTCAAGTAGATAAACAAAGGCACAGAGAAATTGTGATTTACCCCAGGTCACAGAGGGAGCCAGTGGCAAAGTCCTGTCTCCCAGTTCCCTGCTGCCACACTGCTGCCTTTCTCTTTTGATTGTTTTATGTTTGTCTGTTTGTTTTAGATACCCATTTATTGGTGATTGGAGAGGCTTTGTGGAATAAATGTATAAAGCTGTATAAGTGTGTTCTGAAAATTTGTAGAGAGAATTCCTTAATAAAACGCTCTCTAGATATTGTAGATATTAAGCCTGCCAACATGGAAGAGCTGACAGAGGTGATAACAGCTGCAGAGTTCCATCCTAACAGCTGTAACACATTTGTATACAGCAGTAGTAAAGGAACAATTCGTCTGTGTGACATGAGAGCATCGGCACTCTGTGACAGACATTCGAAATGTGAGTTCTACTTCGTTATTGATTCCCCTCTCCCCCGTTTTTTAAAGCATTCAGCATTTCAGTACTAGAGAAAGCTATGGGCTTATCTACACTTGAAATGCTACAGCTGAGCCAGTGTAGACGCTACCTAGGCTGACGGGAGGGGTTCTCTCATCAGCAAAGGTAATTCAACTCCCTGAGAGGTGGTAGCTAGATCGACCTAGCACTGTCTACACGGGGTTAAGCTGGCTTAACTACTCTGTGTGGGGTGTGGATATTTCAGACCCAGGAGTGATGTAGTTAAGCCAACTTAATTTTCTAGTGTAGACAGTGCTATGTGTAGTGCCGAAGCATCAAGTACTGTAAACTGTGGCCTTTGTCAATAAATTTCTAACACACCTCACTGTGAGTGTATAGTGAATTTCCTTAGTATGGGGGAAAAGAGGAAAAAAACAAAACAAAAAAACCTTAGTGGGATGTTGGGTTTATCTCCTTGCTTGAGTGAAAACAGTAACTTAATGTTACTGCAACTTAAAAAACTAATGCCAGAGGACTGGCTAATAGAGAGGATTGGAAACAGCTTAATGCAGCCTTTAACTTTTAAATTACTAGTTCAGTTCCAACTCAGGCCCGTAGCTAACGCTCAATACTTGCAAATGAGTACACCCTCCAAAAGTTAGATTCCTCACTCTGTCTTGGATTTTTTTTTTTATTGTGATCAATCTATAGAAAGCAATATGTATAGTGACTTGCCTTTACTTCTATCTTACATACACTCGATTCACTGTCTCTTTAGAAGCTAAATCCAACATTTACTTCACCATATGGAGGTCACATAACAGAGCTTTTTCTTTCTGAAATATTACATATAATGGCAGCAAGGCTATTTATTCTAGCTCAGCTAATACATTGTAAATGTATAATAAGCTTATTTGGGTATATCCTGTTTCAGCAGGGACTTGTATCCTGGACTTCTGAGGAGATGGACTCAGTGGTCCAAAGATCTTATATCTGACTGGTTTTAATTCTTCCAGCATTTTTGATGTTACAGCCTTAGGCCATGGATATAAGTGGCATTTGCCATATACATCAGTATGCAACTTTTAATGTCCTTGTGCCAATATTTCTTAAGGTGATAAGTTTTCTTCTTCCTTCATCTGGCCATCAAACACTAGATAACTAACAGCACCTGCAGTGTTTCTAATCAGTCTGTGTAGTATGATGAGTGTGCTGTATTAGGGTATGGGAGACATTCCTCAATCGGTGTGTGTATAAAATGCTGTCCCAGAACCATTTGAGATTTTTTCCAAGGTTCATATTGAAATGATTGTTTTGAAGCATGAGCGTTTGTATGGAATTGACTTAGTTTTGAATAGATGTGCTTTGCTCATCGGCATGCCTGTCTTTTACTTATAGTGTTTGAAGAACCAGAAGACCCTAGCAACAGATCGTTTTTCTCTGAAATCATCTCTTCCATATCTGACGTAAAATTCAGCCATAGTGGTCGATATATGATGACTAGAGATTATCTGTCAGTGAAGATCTGGGATTTAAATATGGAAAACAGACCTGTGGAAACATACCAGGTATCCAGTGAAATTTCATACACTAGTATTATAAACTTTGAAAGTATGTCATGTACTGAGTATGGCCTCGATCCCATAATTGGATCGGTGTATATAGACCCCTGTTCCTATGTAGAGCTTCAGCAAAGACAGTGGGGCACAAAGACACACGGGTCTGCTCTCTGTGGTCTGATTGTAGGATTAAGATCTACATTTTAACATGTATGAGATGCTTTTTCTCATGGGGTGGGACTCGGGAAGGGTGCAATAAGCGTGACTTGCATTCTGGGCCACAAGTTAGCATAGTGATGGTGTTTTGCTTCATCAGAGAGGAGACCAGAGTTCACACCTTTCTGCCTGAGCAACAGGAGGCAGTATTGTGCAGGACACTTGCTCAGTTTAGGGACAGTCCAGTGCCATGGGGCCAATTGTGACGCTCCCTGTCAACTTATAGGGTGGACTTGAGAGTATACGAAGGGGGTCCCGTTCCGTTTTCCTCAAGAGTCAAGTTGTTCTCCGTGTAGCTTGCTTGGATACTTTCACAGACAAATCATGCTTTTTCAAATATTAAAGAAACCTTTTTTCTCCTAGGTGCATGAATACCTCAGAAGTAAACTTTGCTCTCTGTATGAGAATGACTGCATTTTTGACAAATTTGAGTGCTGTTGGAATGGATCGGACAGGCAAGTCTAACAGTTTTTCTTCACATATTTAAGCCTTAGTTTTGGGAATGGGGAGCAGACTATGGGTTCCTTCTGACGTGAGAAATTCAAAATGTAGCCTCAAATGTATGAATCCTTTTGTTCTTAGGTTTGGTTGTTTTTTACACTGTTATGAGCTAATGTAATGTATATTAGCCCTTACCGAGGGAGTCTTGCGATTTGATGTGCAGGGAGTGAGAATCCACCCATGTAGATTTTATTGCTGGATTGAGGCCTTCAATACTCTTCACCCTGGAGAGTATATACTTCTTATGACTGTAAGTTGCCTACTAGGCTTTGGGAGCCGTTGTCCTCATTAATAATCCTGTCTTGAAAATATGTAGACAACCCTCTAAGAATTTCATATTTTTTTTTAAGCTTGCCTTGCATGGCTGTCTCCCCAGTAATATTACTGTTAGCCTATGTTGAATGATGATTTAAAAAAAAAAAAAGCATTGAGCCACTCAGTTGCCAAATCTGAAGCAGCTCTTTGGATCCCCATCTGTTTCATCATGAGGGGAACATTCTCTTTAAACGAAACAGCTGTTTATCCAAATGTTTGGATAATCTCTAAGCCTATTTGCCTAACTGAAAATCTGATATATTTCAATTTGATGGTCTTAAACTAGCCAACTCTAAGGTGTTGTATCAAAAATTGGGTATATTTTGGTCCTGATGCTCATGCAATTCTAGCCATGTACTTTGAGCCAAATTCAAAATTCTACTCCTTCTGGCTATTAGTAATTTCTTTCCAGGGTACACTCAGTTGCCAGCCAGAAGGGCAATACTGACTGCTTACATGCAGAAATTCAAATGCTTGTCTTAATCAGAAAACCTTGTAACAGGTTGTGACATTTCCCAGGGTTGTGAGGCACCTCGCTACAACCTGCCCTTAGTGTGAGGATGTTTCTGGTGCCCGCTGTGGTTCAGCTCCCTGAATCCACTAGCGTCTGGCAACACAATTCTCCACAGGCCTTGCTCTCTCTGAATGGGTTAGCAATAGGCACACACCAATCCCGGACTCTTCCGAGCATCCCTCTGAAGTGTTCAGATCCTTTTGCACTGAACGCTCACAGAACTCTGATTCGCTACTCCCAAAGGAATAGCACACTCCAGCTTGCAAGGAGTCAACACAGGATCCCCAGTCATCTTAACATACAGCTCTTAGGGTACGTCTACACTACGAGATTAGGTCAAATTTATAGAAGCCGGTTTTATAGAAATCGGTTTTATACTGTCAATTGTGTGTGTCCCCACATAAAATGCTCTAAGTGCATTAAGCCGGCGGACCACTCCACAGTACTGAGGCTAGCGTCGACTTCCGGAGCGTTGCAATGTGGGTAGCTATCCCACAGTTCCCGCAGTCTCCGCCGCCCATTGGAATTCTGAGTTGAGATCCCTATGCCTGATGATGCAAAAACAGTGTCGCGGGGGGGTTCTGGGTACGTCGTCAGGCCCCTCCGTCAGAGCAACGGCAGACAATCAATTCGCGCCTTTTTACCTGGGTTACCTGTGCAGACAACATACCATGGCAAGCATGGAGCCCGCTCAGCTCAGCTCACCATCACCATATGTCATCTGGGTGCCGGCAGACGTGGTACTGCATTGCTACACAGCAGCAGCTCCTTGCCTTTTGGCAGTGGATGGTGTATTATGATTGATACCGGTCATCGTCATATTCCTCAGTGAGTTCAATCAGAGGCACCTGGGCAGACATGTTTTGTCTCCTGGAGACTCAGTCCTGCCAGCAGTCCTATTGAACCGTCTTGACGATGATGGCTGGCAGTCGTAATACAGCATTTTCTGCTAAGCACCCAGAAAAGGCCGATGGCTATCAGTCATGCTGCACCGTCTGCTGCCAGTTTAAGATATAAAAAATAGATGGACCAGATTTGTTCTGTATTCATTTGCTTCCCCCTCCCTCCGTGAAATCAACGGCCTGCTAAACCCAGGGTTTTGAGTTCAATCTTTGGGGGGACCCTTCTGTGTGACAGTTGTTTGTTTCTCCCTGATGCACAGCCACCTTTGTTGATTTTAATTCCCTGTACCAGCAAGCCATGTTGTCACTCGCCCCTCCCTCCCTCCGTCAGACACTAGTTTCGCGCCTTTTTTCAGCCCAGACGCCATAGCATTGGGATCGTGGAGCCCGCTCAGATCACTGCGGCAATTATGAGCACTATAAACACCACGCACATTGTCCTGGAGTATATGCAGAGCCAGAACATGCCAAAGCAAAACCAGGCTAGGAGGCGATTGCAGTGCGGTGACGAGAGTGATGAGGAAATTGACATGGACATAGACCTCTCACAAAGTACAGGCCCCAGCAATGTGCAAATCATGGTGTTATTGTGGGAGGTTCATGGCATGGAACGCCAATTCTGGGCCCGGGAAACAAGCACAGACTGGTGGGACCGCATCGTGCTGCAGGTGTGGGACGATTCCCAGTGGCTGTGAAACTTTCGCATGCGTAAGGGCACTTTCATGGAACTTTGTGACTTGCCTTCCCCTGCCCTGAAGCGCCAGAATACCAGGATGAGAGCAGCCCTCACGGTTGAGAAGCGAGTGGCGATAGCCCTGTGGAAGCTTGCAACGCTAGACAGCTACCGGTCAGTCGGGAATCAATTTGGAGTGGGCAAATCTACTGTGGGGGCTGCTGTGATCCAAGTAGCCAACGCAATCAAAGACCTGCTGATATCAAGGGTAGTGACTCTGGGAAACGTGCAGGTCATAGTGGATGGCTTTGCTGCAATGGGATTCCCAAACTGTGGTGGGGCGATAGACGGAACCCATATCCCTATCTTGTCACCGGAGCACCAAGCCACCCAGTACATAAACCGCAAGGGGTACTTTTCAATGCTGCTGCAAGCCCTGGTGGATCACAAGGACGTTTCACTAACATCAACATGGGATGGCCGGGAAAGGTACATGATGCTCGCGTCTTCAGAAACTCTGGTCTGTTTCAAAAGCTGGAAGAAGGGACTTTCTTCCCGGACCAGAAAATAACCGTTGGGGATGTTAAAATGCCTATCGTTATCCTTGGGGACCCAGCCTACCCGTTAATGCCATGGCTCATGAAGCCGTACTCAGGCAGCCTGGACAGGAGTCAGGACCTGTTCAACTATAGGCTGAGCAAGTGCCGAATGGTGGTGGAATGTGCATTTGGACGTTTAAAAGCGCGCTGGCGCAGTTTACTGACTCAGATAGACCTCAGCAAAGCCAATATTCCAATTGTTGTTGCTGCTTGTTGTGTGCTCCACAATATCTGTGAGAGTAAGGGGGAGACATTTATGGTGGGGTGGGAGGTTGAGGCAAATCGCCTGGCCGCTGATTACATGCAGCCAGACACCAGGACGGTTAGAAGAGTACAGCAGGGCACGGTGCGCATCAGAGAAGCTTTGAAAACGCGTTTTGTGACTGGCCAGGCTACGGGTGTGAAACTTCTGTTTGTTTCTCCTTGATGAACCCGCCCCCCCCGGTTCACTCTACTTCCCTGTAAGCTAACCACCCTCCCCTCCCCCCTTCGAGCACCACTTGCAGAGCCAATAAAGTCATTGTTACTTAACATTCATGCATTCTTCATTAATTAATCACACAACTAGGGGGATAACTGCCAAGGTAGCCCGGGAGGGGTGGGGGAGAAGGGAAGGACAAGGACACACTGCAGTTTAAAACTTTAACTCTTATTGAAGGCCAGCCTTCTGATGCTTAGGCAATCATCTGGGTTGGAGTGGCTGGGTGGCCGGAGGCCCCTCCACTGTGTTCTTGGGCGTCTGGGTGAGGAGGCTATGGAACTTGGGGAGGAGGGCTATTGGTTACACAGGGGCTGTAGCGGCGGTCTCTGCTCCTGCTGCCTTTCCTGCAGCTGAACCATACGCTGGAGCATTTCAGTTTGATGCTCCAGCAGCCGGAGATCGACTCTTGCCTTCTGTCAGCAAGCTGACGCCACCTATCCTCTTCAGCCCGACACTTGCTCTCTTCAGCCCGCCACCTCTCCTCTCGTTCATATTGTACTTTTTTACACTCTGACATTGACTGCCTCCACGCATTCTGCTGTGCTCTGTCAGCATGGGAGGACATCTGGAGCCCCGAGAACATATCATCCCAAGTCTGCCGTTTTCTCCTTCTAATCTTCACTAGCCTCTGCAAAGGAGAAACATTTGCAGCTGGTGGAGGAGAAGGGAGAGGTGGTTAAAAAAAGACACATTTTAGAGAACAATGGGTACGCTCTCTCACGTTAAATTTTGCTGTTCACATTACACAGCACATGTGCTTTCGTTACAAGGTCGCATTTTTCCTCTTATATTGAGGGCCTGCCGGTTTGGTGTGAGAGATCACTCACGCAGTGCCAGGCAACAGAATTCGGCTTGCAGGCAGCCATGGTAAGCCACAGTCTTTTGGCTTTTTTAACCTTCATAACATGTGGGAATGGTTTCAAATAGCAGCGCCCTCATTTCCCATACCAAGGACCTGTTGGGTTGGCCATTTAAAATGGGTTTGCAATGTAAAAGGAGGGGCTGC